ACAGAGTGCATGACTTCCCCCCATATCCTTGATAACTCTTCCCAATATAAGAGAACAAGCACTAAACCAAAGTTGCAAGTTTCCTGCTCATCATTTTTCTTTACGTAGGTGATAATTTTGTCTGCGTTTCTCTTCATTGTGACTCATGTTTGTCCTTCCGTTTAATTGACTGATTTTTCAACTTGACTTTCAGCTTCATTATCAGTACCGATCTTTGAATTTACCGAACAATAAGTAAACATTGTGTTCTTTTTACACATGACTTTCCATGAGTATTTAGGACTATATTTTTCATCAGTTCCAAAACGATTGAATATCAGGAAACACTAAAGGACTACTCATTCTTTTCTAGCTGAAAAGTATACGTCACTATCTGTTCTCGTTTAATTTCTTTAATGCTAACTCAGTGCCATCGAGCCGGTGAGTTGGAATACAATACAGTCAATATTTTTAATCCTAGCCAATTTGTAACATAAGATTACTCCCATTCAACACTGGTAGTGATTTATTACTTCGGGTTTTACTTAAATATCTTGGGTTTCGATAGTCAAACGCTTCGGTGGATACCTATTGCTAACTTAAAGCCTCATACTATGATGAAATATTACACCTAATTCTTTCTAGATTTGAATAATTCTCTAATAGTTTCTAATCATAATGAAATCATCCAAATTGATTTCCATTCACCATGATACTGCAAAGAAACAGCAATCCAGTGTTTCCTTAATTTCTATTGATTATCAATAAGTAAAGTGAAACTACAATATGAAGAGGAAATCGAACTGTAGAAAATAGTCGAAATGTTATAACCGTACAGACATGTATATATATATGCCCTCGGATTCGCATAGATACTCATACACTGACTAAAACCACACAAAATTCTTATTTCCCCAGTATTACACCCATATGGATCTTAGTAATAACAACAATTATTATTATTATTATTATTATTATTATTATTATTATTATTGTAGTTTATCAGTCAATTAATTATGGATACTTTTTGTTTCAAATGATATATGGTTATTACAAATATTTTATAGGAATTAAAAGTATATTTATTATATATCATAATTATTTCAACTAATTCTTTAGTGAATAATAATAATAATAATTACCATTATTATTATTATTATTGTTATTATTATTATTATTATTATAACTGATGGTATAAATAGTAGGGTAATAATAATTTTCTGCCGAAAATTAAGTTTTTCCCTCTAGCATTACAAAAAAATTATTTTAAAAACGAATATTAATGACATTTATGCATATTTATAATTTATTATAATAATTATTGAAATTATTATTATTTTTATTAATTTTAAAATGGTTAAGTGACAGAATTCAATTAGTTAAATTTAATTAAATAATTTATTATTTTGTCTATCTCTCTACCTCCGTTTCATACACACACACACTCATTCATATATATATACTCTCTCTTGCTCGATATCTCTCTTATATTTGGCCTGAATTATTCTCGTTGCTATAATAATAATAATAATAATAATAATAATATTTAACATTTTGATAAGTCGGTTAATTATGCTTGTTCAGCAATTAAGTAGTAATTAATTAGATATAAATTATATTATTATGTACATCTATTAATGCATATTTATATATGTGCGTGTCTGTGTACACTCCGTACACTAATAAGGCAATAGTGAAACGACTGCACTTGAGTGTATGTGTATTTTACATATATATATATATATATATATATATATATATATATATATATATATATATATATATATATATATGCCTATACATGTAATTGTCTATAACGAATAATTCAGGATGGATAGATGAACGAGTTTTGGGTACACTGGTATAATAATCATAATAATACTGCTCGTTCAATTAATATCGAGAGCAATCAAATGAAAAGGAATAATTAACTAATCTTTTTATTATAGATATTTATATTATTTATTTCTGATAATGGTTTCTATTGAAAACGTTATGTGATCCGAAAAAAAACAACCAACTTTTGTGAACGTTTTATAATTGGGAAAATTTGTAAAGTCGACTATATTTATGTGATGATATAACCAACCCAATGTGACGGATCATATATCTAAATAATGTGTAAATTATTATTGTATGTTTTATAGTTTACATTATGAATTTATATTGAATTGACAAACACTGAAAACTAAGAAGCTCTAGGGAGCTAGTCAGTCATAAATCATCAAAATTTAATTACTTAAATAATTTCAGTTTACTCGCTAATGACTTCCTAAAGTTCTAGTGAAGATTTGTAGCTATAATCAATGCCATTGGATGATCGTTTCGTTGTATCGTAAATTGATAGAAGTTATATCATTGGTCTTCGACTCAGTGGTCCTAACGATTAAGGGTTCTGTTGTGTCACTTGAAAATATTAGGTACGATTAACAATGAGGTTGTGGGTTTAAAATGGGAATGAAAAAATTCATATCAAGACAAAATAATTGTCCGATACTTCCTAGTTTTCAGCAGTATCTACTTACTCTTAATGAGATCAGTTTGTACCTACAAATCACACCCAAAAACTTTTCTTCACCTAGAAAATAAATATTTTTAGCTTAAAGAAATTCGCATCAGTTAGTTTGATTGGTCATTATCAACAGACTTCCACACATTGATCATAATACTTTTGTTTTATTATTTTCATTTTTTTGTACTAATACCTCATGACGTTATATAATTAGTCAAGAACGCTACAATTATACTGTACATTTGTAAGAACAAACTATTTTGTATTATGGTAATGATTTCTAATAGGAACTAAATAAAAATGAACTCTCAAGTGTTACCTCAAATAATTTATTGGTATTGGAGACTTGTTGAAATTGTCCAATTTGTGGTTTGTTAAACAACATAAAATTAGGATGAAATTGCTGAATGTGTTATCATAACATAGGATTTCTCGGCAATAAATATTTGAAAACTCTCCATGAATAGAGCTGAGGACTTTCAAGCTACGAAACAAGAGCTTATCACATTATTATATGACAACTAGAAATGTTTATTTCAGTCTATTCGCGATTGAAGCGTGACTATCATCGGTTTTTATCACTGACACTTGTCTCACACCTGTAATGGTCGACATTCTATGATTATATCTTGAATTTTACTAATCCATCGATCTGTAAGGTTTTTGAGAATTTCTCTCATCAGTGTAATTGAAACAGTACCAAATTTTAATGGTAACTCCAATAAATCTATTACTAAGCTATCCAAACTAAGTCAGAAGTGAATTTTATTGCTCTTTGATTCTATAGTATAAACATCTAGTGTAAGTTGGAAATATGAATGAAACGAATTTCTACACGATAATCCAATGATGTCATCCTTATTAAGGAATATAAAGGTTCTGAATTCAATCCTATGTAGAATCATTTAGAACCCACACACATACTGAAGTGAAGCAGCTAATCCAATTCGTTAGTACTGTATAGTTTTCAATTCGTAATGGGAAAATCACTTATGCAAACTATTTTCCTCGTTTTTTCCAAAAGGTTTTCAAAACCTTCTCAGTACAACAGAGAAAAATTAAAATGATTGTCTTGATAAAAATATATAATAACTAGTAAAATGTTATATACGTAAGAAATAATTTACATCCATTCAGTCAGTCAGTGATTAATTTTATTTATTTATTTGAACACATAAATATTGGTACAAGGAAGCACCAGATACTTATGCGCCACACCAATCTCATTTGATTTATGTGAGGGCTGTGATACTGCCCGGGTGCCCAAACCGAAGAAGGTGGTTTTCTTAGGGGGCCACATCCGGAGTCTTTGACCCAAAGATCTGATCCCCAAGGCGGTGGAGCATTGTGAGGAGATGCAGTCTCATGGTAGCCGGTGACCAACAATTTATTCATATGCCATTTGTTCCCTCAGGATACTGGAGCCCATGTGCACCACTGGTTTAAAAAACAGGGTTTTTCGACTCCACTAAGTGGACTCACCGTATCCACCAACCCGATTAAAGCGCTGAACATTCGCTTTTCGTCCTCTTAATTTCGTAAATAACAGTAATGCCACGAGAAGGCAATGAGTAGGACTTCCCTGTCAGAGGCTATATACTGGTGGCTATGCAAGACCATTTCGAGAGGGAAAGCGGACTCTCCCCACTCTCGGCCGTACCAGGGCATTTGGGGACTCAGTCATTTATTAGTCAAATAATTAAATTTTTTACTTCCAAGAATCAATGCATTAAATTCTTTATTTATACTTTAAAGTACTTTAAAATTTCAAAAAAAGTTTCTTCCAGTTATAAGTTCCAGTATTCCAGAGTTATAACTAACATTTGATCAGGTAACTATCAGTAATAGTAATGCTATTACTAACAATAATAATACTATTATTATTACTGGTGTTATCTATTATTAAGTTGTTTCTCCCCTACTTACTCATTTATTTACACCTCCATTGTTCTTTATTCATTTGGGACACCTAAATTAATTGATTAATCTAATTATAATTAAAATGATATTAAAAAAAAGTAAACAAAAATTACTATATATTATCTTTAATATTTTATTGATCATTCATTGTTCAATTTTTTGTTTCTTTGTTTTATTATTCATAATTATAGTTGTTCTTTATTTTTTTGTTTTAATTTTATTCTATCCATTCGATTCATTGTTCATCCATTGTTCATTCATCTATGAATTCATCGATAATTACATAAATATACATATATATATATATATATATATATATATATATACAAATATGATTAATTCGTCTGCTATACATACTTCTAACTTATTTACTCATGTTCATTGATGTATATGTTTCCCATAAATGTATATTCTTCATTCATCATTCTGTCACATCTGGTCGGTGATTTGTTAAACAAAAAACAAAAACTATTTTTATTCAATCGATTGTCGACTCATTCATTTCATCTATTCACTCATTGCATATACTAATATATATATATATACATATTAACATACATAAATATCTTTTTTCAACTTGTTTAATTAGTCTCTTCAAAATCTGAACGAATTGATCGAAACATGTTTTCTTCCCTTTTTCTTCCAACAATATCTCAAACAATTGGTAAATCAAATCGTATAACTCAAAATCAATTAAATAGTTTAATACTACCTAATTTAATGAATTCTGATGAATATTATGCGACAACAGACATGAAGACTAATAGTGATACTAATACTACCACTACTACTGATAATAATATAAGTAGTATTGAAAATAGTCTTAATCATATGAATAATTCAAATGGACAAACTTTTTTGCATGTTCATGAAGATAATCTAAATCCAGCATCATCACATCAATCAGATCAAAGTATACACAGTAAATTAAGTCCATTACCTGGACAAATGAATGGAATAGACCCATCTGGATCACCGCCAACAATTCATTCACCTATAACTAATGATAATAAATGTAAAAAAGCAAGACATAGGTAAGCAGTTGTGATCGTCGTTGTCGTTATCGTTGTTCTCTATTTGGATTTTAAGAAGAAACGTTTTTTTACCATTACACTAATATTAATTAAATGAGTTTTTCGAGGGGGGGGGGAGGTAATTTTGTTAAAAAACGGAGAAAAAAGAATATAATTAATTAAACGAAGGGTAAAGTTAACTTCTGTTATCAAGCTAATCAGGATTAAGAAAATGGCTTTAAGATCACGGCGTATTTATAAATCTATACTAGAGTTTATAAAACTAAACTAAACCAGGATGTTAACCGCGGACCACATAATGATCAGTTTCAGTGAAAAAAACATCGTTAGGTGTACATAAAATGTTGGATTGATGAGAACACTTACGTGGATATATATATATATATATATAACGAATGATGGTAATCATTTGGAAGGAGTCTTAGCAGTAGTGTGAGTAGTATTGGTAGCACGAAGTAAGAAAAAATCGGTACATTGAATACTTAGACTTTTGGGAAGCCTCCATCAAATAAAACCTCGTAACTAATTATATGTGTTTAAAAAAAGATAATTTCAATGATCCTAGTATGATAATATAAATATTGTTATTGATTACCAAATATAGAGGGGATAATCTTCTATTCTCTTATTATCTGTGTTTATTTTATATTCTCGTCCGTCTAGTTTTTGGTAAATCGTTGTTTATACCTATCTGAACAAGGAAATGTATATTGCCGGATTACTGTACGCTAGATATTAAACTTCAGATAATAAACAACTCCATATATATATATATATATATATATATATATATATATATATATATAATCTTACAGTGGCGATCAGATTTTGCTAATGTGCCACTAATCTGAGTGACTTGACTTCGCCTGAGCTGTTTTGAATTGCTAGGTGGGTCATAATAGTCGGTAGGTATCCACGATCGTAGGTTCCACTTGTCACTCATTAGCAAGATCTACGTGTAATTCTAAGGGAAATGATGGTCTTTGTATGACTCGAGCCCATACCATTTAACTTCGCGATTCCAGATATTACCACTGCTAAGCTGGTTCATGCGAGTTCGAATCCAACGATTAGCACACTCATGATTACAGGGACGTTTTGACTATTGCTACATAATAAGCGTCTTGACATCGCATTATTCATATTGCTATGGAAAAGAACCAAACATTTTAAACATGAAATAAACAACGAAAATCTTTACTTGACCAACATTTTGTCACATTATTATTACTGTTAATAACTTTACTATTATTAGTGTTACTACTGTCAATAAAATTTGAATTTTTTCATTTAATAAGCTTTTACAGTGTTAAACGTCATTTTTACTGTGCTACATACTATTGTACACTTATATGTGTATGTTTGTGTCACCTTTTCTGCACCATTAGTACGACTTTAATGAAAGACAAACATTTCATTTATAAAAAAGCTATTCTGTTATTTCTTTTGTGTTTGTGAATGTGTGTGTGTATGTGGAATATCACTAACTTCTTTTAGACTTTTCGTTTGTACTGGACAGTAGTCATCTATGACTGACTGTAGTAGCATGTTTTAATAGTATTGACCTTATTCTGTCAGTCAAGCTTTTGTAAAATTATCAGTAATGTGTTAATTGACTTAATAATTATTTCATGTCTATATATACAATATGAATATAGTCTGGATAGTCGATTATGTTTTGGAAAAGATTCGTAATTTCTTGAGAGTCATATTCACGGATGCAAATGATAAGTTCTGACTAATACTTTTATATTTGTTTAATAAGGTTAGTAGATATTTGGACTCGATCGCCCGGTGGCTAAACATACATTGGGTATTTTATGCGAAAAGTACTGGGTTCAAGCCTCAATGTGATTATTAATTATGAAATGTGGGTATACTCAAACGGTGAACCGCAAAATAGGATGAAACATGTATTCTGAACTTATACCAAATCGAATCAAAATTGGACTATATTTGTTTGCAGTGTAACTACTGAGAACAAATCATAAGTGTAATTAAAGTTTTAAACTTTTGCATTAGTGAACGGTCATCTATGAAATTTCATTGAAATTACAAACCTATCTAAATTAGACAACCAGTGAAAACCTGGAAGCGATGAAGGTCCGTCTCGTCATCATATAGAACTTTCCAGTCGTACCCATCTCTTAATGAGCAACCCGGACTCGAATGCATGACCATCAGTCAACAGACCATTGAACCTTGTCGAAATGGTACCCATATAAAGCAATCAAACGTGGTCGCACATAATCATGGATTGACTGAAGTTAGACTTGTATACCACTAGATCACAGCTTAATGATCCAGAATTTAAATACTCTCTCGTGAAAGCGGAGGTCTCAGGTTCGAGTCTTGGTTGTGCAGTCAGGGATGAGCACTGCTGGGGAGTCCCATATTTAATGACGAGACGGTCATAAAGTGCTTCTAGGTTTTCAGTGATTGTCTAATTTACATTAGTTCGTGATGTAAATAACACTTAACAATCTCCACAACTGTATACTAATATACTTGAAATTACTTTTAAACGATGACAATGTTTTCCTCTGTTAAGATATAATAAAATGGGTTAATATATTCACTAGTAAGAAATTTCATGCTGATCTTTAAAAAAATGATTATTATCAGTTGAGATATAATCATTTTTCCTAGTAAAAATAAACTGATATTGTCAGAAGTACATATTTAACTTTCAGTGATATAAGATGTACTCGATTGATACTATTTGTGACTTTTGAGATTGATTTATCCAAATACAAGTATCTTTGCTGCCTCATTACTCAAGCTCAGAAGTTATAGTTTCATACATTGAAATGCTGGTGGTTTAATGAATATTGATTTTCTTCTTATCGGATTATTTCTATGGACTTTTAAGATAAGTAAGAAGATATACAGTTCAGGTGGATGATTTTAGTGGAGTTTTGTTCTTTGAGTTGGATGGTTCAATCATGAAACTTAAATAGCATCATCAGCAGAAACTTTAAGTAGAAATGAGCTGTTTGAATTCCTTCACATGTGACTAACAGCTTATCCTGTCGACTTTGATTTTAATTCATTTATTTGAAATAAATCAACATAAACCTATAAACTAAAAGGGCTTTGGGTATATAAAGAAAACAGAAGTCACTCTTAAAATTTCTATCCTAAAGAGCATAAAACTTAAATTTATGACTTTCCGTTAAAATTACTTAGGTGCAATAATGAATATAGTGGAATTGATCCATTTTGATTTTCTTTTTTCAGAATTCATTAAGTGATCTTTACATAAAGAATAACGGGTAAAAGTGTTTTATCCTAAACAGAATAGTTGTTTCAACACACAAAACAGTATATTTAATGCTATTATGTACGTAAATGTTGACTAAATTCTATACTACCATCAAAATTTGTTCCATTCGTTCTATCGAAATCGATCCCTGTTGTTTTTTTCGGTTGCTTTCTGTTTTTCTTCTTCTTCTCCTCACTTTCCTCTTTTATCCGCAAGAATTCTACTTTCACTTCCCGATACATATTACTTATTTGTCTCTAAAAGTAGCACATATCACAGTTGGTCTGAGAAGGGCAATTAGTTTGTCCGTAAATTATCGCTTCAATTATAGTGTCTATTAACGATCAGTCATAAGCAAATTAAAAGCTGGCAAATATATATGCATCGATTCAAATTGTTATATCACATCCGTATAAAGAGATCGGATTATCGAGACATACCCCAAAACAGTGGAAGCAGTAACAGTATCAATGGTAATAGAAAAAAACTGGGTATACACAATTTGACTTAAAGAAATAAATTCATCGAGTAAAAAGTATACGATAATTCTAAAATTTAAGACCTATAAGAAGACAAAAAGTGAATTTATTTGCTTCACTAAGACTAACTCTGAATCATGTCAGCCAGTCTTTAATCATTGGTTACGATAGTTGTACAGACCTTAACCAGATGGTCTTAACTTACTTATACGCCCTGGTTTGACAGTCATTAACTCCATAGACTGAAAACTGACCACTAGTAAACATGTGGTTATTAGTAGTATGGAATGTTTGTAAAAATATTCGAAATTTATAGTCCAGTACTTCCTGTCTTTTTTCTAAAGGTTGTCTAACTATGATCAGTTCGTGATATAAATTAAAAATCCTAGACAGATAATTAATGATGGTAATGTGATACATATCTTTTTTGTGTTGAAACATATTATTATTAAATCTATTTATTATTTTACAGAACAACATTTTCAGTTCAACAGTTGTCAATTTTAGAAGCAGCATTTGATAATTGTCCATATCCTGACGCTGTAACACGAGAAGATATTGCTTCCAAATTGTCACTCAGTGAATCACGTGTACAAGTATGGTTTCAAAATCGTCGTGCTAAATGGCGTAAACAAGAAGGTAGTCAATTATTAACCAATGGCAATAATTCAAATAATACTTGTACTCCTACTAATACTGTTAGTAGTACTACTTTAACTACGACTGCTACGAATAATAATAACAATATCAGTAGTATCATCACATCTACAGTATCAATAGCATCATCCTCTTCGACGTCATCATCTTCATCTAATTTATTAACTGTTGAAAATGATGAAGATTTACGAATAAATACAACAAATATATTAGAAACACCATTTTCGTCAACAACAACAACGCCAACAGGTCGTAAAAGAGTTTCCGGTTCAAGTGTACAACAACAACATCATTACCAACAGAAAAATAACTATTCAAATTACAATAATTTTAAACAAATCAATGATGATACAGATAGTATAATCATGAATCCAATTTCATCATCATCTCATTTTAATTTATCCATGATTACTAATGATCTTTTAAGTAATTATCATCAACAATTAAGAAATTTTTCATTTCTTAATGAGAATATAAAATATAAATCATCACCAACCTCATCATCATCATCAACAACATCAATTACTTCACCATTTCATAATGATTTAATGAATTGTTCTAATCAAACATCGACAACAACAACAACAACAATGTTCAATGATCGATTGTTCAATGCAACTAAATCATTAGAATCAGTAAATTCATCAATAAAAACCATTGGCAATAATAAACATCAAACTAACCATTCTAATTTAAATTGTTTAATCAAATCATCTGTAAATAATAACAATCGGTATTATCAACATTATTTATCAAGTAGAAAATCAACTCCAACTACTTGTAAACAACGTAAACATACTACTAATAATAATATCAATAATAATCATGATAATAATGATAATGATAATATTGATCATGATGATCCTGTTAATGCTGATGATGATGATGATTTTAATGATGATGTTGGTGGTGATGATAATGTTGATGAGGAAATGGACGAGATCAAAACAACGGGAGTGAATAACACAAAGACAAGAGATTTACCATTTTCTGTCTTATCGCTTACAGCCAATAATCATAATAATACTAATATTAATAATAATAATGATAATCATAATAGTATAAATGATCCATTTGCAAGACTTCAGTCATCATCCTCATCATCCAAACTGTTTTATCAAAATCTTATAAAATCTATAAAATCAATCAATAATATTGATAATCACGAAAAGAAAAATTCTAATTCTCTCAATTCTTCATTATCTACTTCAATTCCATTGAATGAGATCAACTGTTCAATGAATGAATTGAATCCTACTGAAGATGTAACAAAATATTTAACGAATCTATCTGATTTCAGTGCACTAATGAATTCATTATTGAAATCTAAATTAAGTCTTTTGACAAAAACATCAACTTTATTTGATTGTAATGGAAATAATCATGATTCATGTCTAAATATTCTGAATGATAATACGACTAGTACTAATGCTACTCAAATTACTAATACTACAAGTACTACTAATACCAACAATAATAGTAGTAGTAATACTGTGATTGATAATGTTATTCAAAATTCAATTTTAGAAAATTTAATAACTTCCTGTACACAATTCCCTTTCAATTTACAATATTTAAATGGCACACCATTAAATCAGCATGGATTAGATTTGAAGGTGGAATCAGATACAAATAAACAAATTAGTAAGTAGATATATTATTATCAGAAGGGAGTTTTGTGGAGATTTTAGTAATCTTTTATATAGTTGAGATCATGGATCAATTGAGGCTAGACCACCATGGAAAACCTGGAAGCACTGGACGGCCGTTTGGTCCTATTGTGGGAATCCTCAGCGGTGCGCATCCACATTCGCGCTTTACGAGATTGGAACCCAGGACCTATCAGTCTCGCGCGCGAGACGAAACAGCCGTCCAGGCTTTCTACAGTGGTCTAGCTTCAATTGACTAATGATCTCAACTAGATATATTATTAGTTAATTTGGTTATTTCACAACAGTTTTTCAAAGATATAAAATGAATTCGAATAATTATATACATTAATTGAGCCAAACACATTTCGAGGTGTACATATTCCAACAGTGATCGATCATAATTTAGTGCTTATTATCAATAAAGGAACAATTAAAACCTTGATTAATAACCATATTCATAAATAAATCTGGGAATTTTATTAAATATTTACATTATAGTCTCGCTCAAATTAAACAATCATTGAAAAGTGAGGAAACATTATCTAACTATTTCATCCTAACTTCATGATACTCTTCAACAACCGTGCATCCACAACTTTCTTGTAATTATTGTCGAATTTGTAGTTACTCCATAATGTATTGCTATAAATTACACAGCGATGTTTTTTTTTTATTGTTAAACAATAAAAGGAATCAATTAATGTGGTAGACTTGCAGAATGATAGAAGATACGAGAAGAATATGAGAATAAGTGTTAAGAATAGATAGTTACTAACAGATCATATATTTAAAAAAGGTTAATAGTTGACACCAATATAAGGAAATTTATTAAAGGATGCGAAAAAGATAAAAAGTGTGAGAGTGAGTGAGTTTGAAACAGAAATAGGACGATGAAACTTGATAATCAAGAACAACTCGAGGTGAAATAGAAGATTCAGATAGATTTTGATCCGTTTTTTGTGTGTGTATGATTGACACAAAAGATTTCGTTTATTCAATCTATAAAATACATTAGATGTATTAATAGTAGTAGTGATAATGTTAGTAATGATTACAAAATATCGAGACTGACTTCAAGAGACATTTCCTTAAATTCTAGTGGGAAGCAGTAACAAGTGGAGTTCAACTAAGTCTGTTGTAGAGATATCAACTCACTGAAGACAATCGGTGAATGGTGAACAATCTCTCAAAATCGCGGATTGGTTGAAGTTAAACATTAACACCGTTGGATGCCGACTCAGTGGTCTATCGGTCAAGTGCTCTGGCGCGAGTCTGATAGGTCCTGGGTTCGGATCTCGCGAGTGCGGGATCGTGGATGCGCACTGCTGAGGATTCCCATAATAGGACGGAAGGGCCGTCCAGTGCTTTCAGGTTTTTCATGGCGGTCTAGCTTCAATTAACTCATGATTTCAACTATGAAAATACTGAAATCTCTACAAAACCCCTTCAGATCGAAGATCGAGATAATCAATTATTCCAAAATAAATGACGGAATCAGACCAATTGACACTGAAATAGATACACAAACTAAATAAAATATTTATCCATAAAGAGATATGATTCTGAGAAGAAGCAGGTTAGAGTAAAAACAGAATTGATTTTTTTCCCATACTACAAAAAGAGAGACAGTCTATCTCCTTTTTTTTCTTCATTAAAAAACACAATTTAAATATGACTGAGGTAAGACAATTAAAAAAGCAATAACATACATAAAAAAAAGAAACGAATCAAGGATAGAACTGCGTTAATTCAACATTGATTAATTAATTCATTAATTTATTTTAAAAAAATTGAAAAAAGGCAAATGAGTGGGTAAAGACAAAGCACGATGACAAAGAACAAGAGACAAATAAAAGAAACTAATTTATGTAAAAATCTAAACCCCGAAAACTTATCACATCTACCTGATTAAAATTATTTTACATCTAATTATCAACCATGTGGAAAAGAGTCATCAAGATTTATGTATTTTAGTGTATACTACTTACTTACCTAAAAATAAATTCTCTTGTTATATGTACGTTTATTTGTGTGTATGTGATAAAGAGATTTCAAACAAATGACATACCGAATTTATTAAAGAGAGAAGGGTTAAGAAGAATCGAAAGTCTGAAAGAGTACAAGTGATTAGTGCGTGTGTGAGAGAGAGAGAAAGATACAGCTCGTGCACATCCATAGTGGATGTACGAGAGCTAGTTGGAATCAACAACATATCATTTTAGCGTATGTTAATAATTACGTCTGAAAAACTTAATAATGTATTATTATTCCTTCTTCTACACACATATATACGTACCCACACATTTTAGTCTATTGCAGCCTTTATCAAGAATATAGATCATACCTACGTTGCTACCTTTTTTGCAAAAATTTAAAATATTATTCATTGTTTGTTATACAAGAGATAATGATATCACAGTTAGTTATGCTGAAGTGAACGGATTCTGGAAGCTGTACACAAAAGATAAGGCAAGGATTATATATATATATATATATATATATATATATATATATATATATATATATATATATATATATATATATATAGTAGTAATCATAATTAAAATTATCAAAGAATATATAATGTTTAACAATCAAGTCAAATCTAAACGTTGAAATTATTTAAATTGCAATCGTCGAGATTACTTTAAATATAATTTTCCCCTATAATGTCTTTCCTATACTCGACGCCCAATCTTTGTCAAATTATTCACCTTAATATTGGCGAATATTCGTAGAAGATAAAGAAAATTATTTAGTGGATTGAGGCCTTAGTATTTAAGGCGTTTGGTTTACAGTTAGTAGGTCTCAGATTCGAATCTCACTTTACATTCCACTGTTTGGGCAGCCAAGCAATTACTAACTCCCACACCTGAAGTGTGGAAATGGCACTCAATGAATTTTAGTTAGTCGAGTTTTTATCCATAGTTTCTTGATTATTGGTTTCACAATTTATATAAAAATACAATTAATTAATCTCTGAGTAGCAAACAATGTCACGTATGTCAAGTCCTTCATTAATGCTGATCTAATTCTGTTAGTCAACTTGCAACGTGGTCAGTAGTATAAGTAACAGAATATCATGTACACTACGCCAGGTGTTCGGAGTTAGTCCAATAAGAAGTATTTCAGATCCAGAATAGCATAGCCTTAACGTCTCGGATAGTAAAGCTGAATGATATGGGTCCGAATCCCATGGGGGGAAACTTCTCAAGATTCCAGGTAAACCATGCTGACCAGTGCCAACCTGGGTGAATCTTATGTTGGATAGGACTTCCTGTCAACTACTTACAAACGTCTAACACACAAAAAAACAATCGATATTGTTATATAGTAGCGAAGACATAAGTACGGGTAACTTGCAGGACCTACTATTGGACTATCATTCTTATTGTATAACTATTCAGTAACTAGATTATCTATATCTATATTCATCTTATTGTAAGCTTCATTTTGACCTATTGATTATTATTATATGATTTATTGTTCCTAAATTATACTCGGTTTATTGAGTACTGTCTCCCACGCTTACAGCCTCATTTGGCTTGGTTTTGTACAAATATTATTTTCTATTTTATGGTATGATGTGGCCTGTCTGTCTGATATATAAATAAAGTATGCTTGAAATAAACGATTCGTATTGCCGAGGCTGCTAATGGTGTTTTGGACTCAAGTGGACGGGTTAGGCGGATAAGGACCAATAAGGATGCTAGATTACTCATACTATCGAACGTCATTGTCACAGTGTTAAGGTCGTAGAAGGCGTATTCTATTGGTGGATAATTTACGCGAATTACGTCCTTGTTAAATTCGTAAGGTCATAACGAATCAGCGACGACCTTGATCAAGTCATAACAATTGGCTACAGTCTAGGTCAAAAACATAACAAATTGGCGACGGCTAGGTCGAGCCATAACAGATATGAGCAGGGATTTTCGTGGCTTTATAATTTGAAGACGGCTTACACTATAAAATAAATAATTTGCTTAACGAAATAACCAGTAAAAGATAAAGGGAATCTAATAATTGTTTCACTCTAGGATGGAACCCCGTCAATAATGTACGTCCTCAACAAAAATCGACCCCTATATGTTTAGATCATTCATTGCGTTTTGTTTCCAAACTATATGCTAAGTAAAAGGAGAAAACTACAGGGGTAATTTAACTTCCAAGATTAGTTCATGTACAGAGAGTGACAGTATGCTTATGTTTATATGTGACTTTGACATTCTGTTAGCTAAAAACGGCAACATAACTGAAAATTATTCATACAGTTGATTATATTTAAATAACTATTTTCTATGATTCTCTTAGAAGTTTTACAAGAAACGCTGATTGACTGAAGCATTTTCACAATTTCTAAAGTCTTTTTCGAGTAATTATTGAGTCTTCCATCCATCTAACATAATTAACATGAGTGGTATGGTTACTAAGTAAAAAGAAAAAAAACAACTCTCAATAGAATGAATAGTTACATTTATTAAATTAATAATCTATTTTATTAGTTTATTAAATTTTAATTGAATTTTAAAAAGAAATAGTAAACAATTTCCCTTTAGTGCATGTACACTCACACACACACACAAAGTGATACACATATAAAAAGGGGAATTAAAATCTACCTACAATTTAGTTCCTCACACAATAAGAAAAATTTCCTTTCAAGGAAACCTATCAATTAACTAATAAAGTCCATAATAATAATAATAATTATTATTATTATTGTTGTTATTGTTATCAGAACCAATAATATCTAAATGCAGTAGTTCAATAAACAAACAAACTAACTAACAAATAAACACCCTCCTATAAACATCAATAAGATATATTTCTTTATTATTGAATAAGTAACATAAAACATCCCATAATTATAGGATTTATTTTAATTTACAAGAAGATAAGTAATGTGTCTATGTGTTTATGTAGTACCATTTTAACTTCAACTTTGTTTCTATATATCTGAACAGTCAGTCATATAGTAAGGCAGTTGAGTTAAAAAGAGGGTAAAACTTTGTGTTGTATAAGCCTCTTGATATATAGTTATATATATATACGCAAATATGAGTGAAGTGAAATCTTCAAGATAATAGATTAAACAATTAAGACATAAAGCAAAAATAAAGAGATTATCATAAATCTAAAACTAATAACCAATTAGAAAAGTGTTTTTTTTCTATATCTTTTGTCATCTTTGTCTTTATTTTCTACTTCCTTTTCGGTCTCTCTCTATATATCTTTCTTTCGATATTTATTCCGAATTGATAATTATATATCATATATATGTAAAGAGTAAGATCGATAATCCATAATTATGTGAATAAATCCTTGATAGACAGATATACAATTGTTTGTCTACTAATTAATAAGCACTGAACAGAGGGAGCGACATACAGATAAATTATTAACATGATGACTATTTTCCAAGAGCAAGGGTGTGATTTTATCTTTCGCAAGACAGAAAACATATTTTTATTTTTATTCTTTAACTACTTGTAGTTTTGATTAAGTAGACTAAAAACTCACCCAAAATAAACATGACAGATGACGTCATTTTTTAATACTGAAAATTTCGATTATTCTTAGAAATTTCATGTCTTGATTGGCAGAACCTGAATTTGGTAACCAGTAAATAGGACAAATAAAAAAAACTAGATTATTGAACGAATGTTTCAATCTTGAGTTTATTGAAACTTACTTATTGTCTTGTGTAATTCATTTTTTTTCAGAATAATAAATGTGTATTCTGTCCTCTTAAATAGGGTTTAGTAAATTAAGAGATAGATCATTTAAATTGAACTATTCGCAGTTCGAAATTCCTCAGTTTTTGGAAATCTGCTTACATACGTTTATATGAATGTAAGGAAAGTGAAAGTAATTAAAATTTTTACGAAACTAAATGATCTTAAGCTTAGTAAATCATTTTAATTTACCTAAATTAATTTTTACTTGATCGACAGTATTCTCTTCATTACTTCTTTTAATAAGTTGAATGTGAGGAGAAATGAATTGTTTATAGTAATAATAATAATAATAATAATAATAATAAACTGAAGTGATTTTCTGTTAGTTATTGTTTTTTTTCCTATTTCCCTCTCGTGGTTTTTCTCTTGTTTTCATTAATGAGAAATAATAATTTAAATGTCAATTGTAGTAATATTTGACAAAAATTGTTTTAATTGAATGACAGTTTACTAATTTTTAATCCATTTCTATGTTAGAACCCCTTTTCATATTTAAGATTTTTTTCGTATACATGTGTAGGTTTGTATAAAAAATTTGAGAAAATAAAATTTTTCTGCTTCTCACACAAACATACAAATTAATATTTGGCAATTGTGCCCATGAAGTGAATTTTATATTTTCAAGGTTAAGCTGTTCGTTTTTATTTATTTATTTTTAAATGTGATGAATAAAAGAAGAGGGGGGGTGTTCTGAAATTTACAAACAGAATTCCACCTTTTTTATCGGTTTGTGTATGTGTGTGTTGATATATGGTCACTTCAAATTTTGGTTACGTTAGAAAAATATATAGGGAAGATAAATTCATTTTTTATGTTGTATACACCACAGATTAATCTCATGTAGAGTACTTTTTTAAAACGACAGAGTTTTGGATAGTTATTTAAACTTAGTAGAGTTTTCAGTGGTATCTCAAAAGATTAATTTGTGATGAATGCAACCTTCACAAAACACTTTCAACTAAACTATAATAGTTAGCCCGCTAGTGACCTAATAAAAGATGTTTTTGAAGTTCTCACTGGTAACGTTAAAAGATAACGAGAGTGGAACAGTTGTCACAAATGGTATTGTATGATCATTGGGCCCTATCTAAAATTGACTGAATTTGGAATTGTACCATTGGAAATCGACCTGGTAGTTCTAGCCGTTGAACATTCTCTCCGAGACCAAAAGGTCTTGTGTTCGATCCCCTAAGGGTTGTAGGTGCGCACAACTGAAAAGTCCCATTCTAAGATCAACAAAGTTGTCCGATATCTTCTGTTTTCTGGTAATACCACAACTGAGATTGATTTATGACGAATGTAAGCTATGAATAAATACTCTGTTAACCTCAAGTTTATTTGTATGATTTTACAGAAATTTTGTCCAATTTGAAAATAAACGCTGATCACAAGCGGACATCACACATTGTACTAATAGTTCTACTTCAATACCACCCATAACTAATCGATTATCATTTTGAACAATACGAAATTAAGATACCTGAAATCATACTTTGTACATGATATCATCGTACTTTTATTGAATCATCGAATCCAATCAGTCGTATATTTCCAAATTCAGTCGATTTAAATTTTTTTTCTAGGATCTTTATTCCACGTTGTCAGTGTACAATATGGAATTAACTTTCCGTTCTTCACTATTTCTCTATTAATATCAGTTCATAACATATGATTGCATAACAGACAGATTTTAGTCGATTTCTTACATTTTAAAAGTAGGGAATGATCATAAATCCTAGTAAGCTCTCGATAAAGTATAAGTTAGTTATCATAGCATTTTAAATGTCGCTCAAAATTGAAGGATAACTATTTCTTAATCTGATTGGCTCATCGCCATAGTGTACTTGTGATAAGACATCTAATTATCAATAATTATTTAAGATTTCAATATGATATGCTCGTTGTAAAATTTTACTCCTATAGTATCAAAAATTTATACTAATGGTAAGAATTATGATTGAATATTCCATTAAACGGTGATCCTTAATAGTTCTTTCAAAATCAGTTATTTTAGGGAGCTGCACATAGTCGAGAAGAAATCTTGCTCGTCATAAGTTTTGTAAATGTTGACACCCACCAGTAAAGCTAACCTGGATTCTTGATGGAACTTATGAACCCAGTGTGGTTCGAACTTTTCTCACCTAGCTCCGAAGTTTGGGACGTCACCACCGAGCTATTCGGGTGGTGGATGAATTGCTGTAGTGATTGATTGATCACTGAATAGTGATTAGTGTAATGATTGTTTAGTCTTTTAATGCTGATCGGATTGATTATGTCTCAACCCATGAAGCTAAGTCATGAGACTAGAATTCTATAAGAAATGACAGTTCCCTCAAGATTTCGGGTACGATTTTCTGAAAAGTGTAAACTAGGACGAGACTCATGTTGAGGTGAGTTTCCGCCCTAACTACCTCCAACCACTTAAAATCTCAACAAAGTTATTTAGACTAGTAGTCGATAAAGTTCAATCACCGCTACAGTACTGAATAAGAATGAGACTGACCACTACTCAGTGATCAACCAATTGTTAAAACTGATTGTGTTTCACATAATTTACATTAGGAACTAATAGTTCATCTTTTTTTTTCACTGTTTCTACTTTCTCTTCAATCAGATTCAAATCGCATGGATAATCTACTTGGTCCATCTGACGATCAGTTGGAAAATCAATATCCTGATATACAAAAACTTATTTTCAATGACATATCCTCATCACATACACTGTTACCATCTGCACTAACATCTAGTACAGCTAACAATCTACTCTGGGAATACTTTTTGAATCGTCTACAAGATCCAAACAATTCTTTATTATCTAAATCACCATCTCTTGGAACCTCGGCAATGACAACAAATTCATTACAAAATGGTACTAATAATTCTAACAACTCATGCTCAAATGATTTAATTAATCCGCCTGATTTATTGAATTTGTCTAATTATCAATATTCTAATATGAACATAGACTTTCGCAAGTTTTTACAGTATGCTAGTTTGAAAGGGAAAGAAACAAATTTAAATTTCAACTTTAACAATTCTTCTACCAATAATACTACTGCTACTACTACTACTTCAAATAATTCTCCTAGTAATCTACATCTTACTACTACTACTACTGCTATAACATCATCTGCGACAAATGGTCTGATGTCGGATTCATTAGATAAAATTAAAGACGATTTACTGTTGAACAGTACAAATCTACCTAATCCTATCGATCAAATAACCAAATTATCACAATCCGATTTTATCCATAACTTTATTAAAAAATTTCAATCATATGGAAGTGATTCAAATGGTGTAAATAATGATAATGATAGCAGTAATCATAATAACAGTGATAATAACAATAATAATAGTTTTACACAACAAATGATGCAATATTATGCTCTATGTGCATTTGTTCAAACTACTACACTTTTGTCCAACTCATCATCTTCCACATCGACATGAATAATACTTCAAATAGAAAAAATATCACATTGGGCAATAACACAAAATTGTGCATATACAAGTAGATTGACGGACAGACAGATAGATAAACTAACATATATTATCCCTGTGAATACTCTTCATATTGTGCATATTATGTATAAGAAAAGTAAAGCCACATTCCTAAACAAAAATCCATAGATGAATTACCTCATTGATACTACTAGTAAGTACTACCATTACTACTAATACAGTGATATACATTTTCATCGTAACAATATATATATATATATATATATATATATATATATATGGATAGTTAATTAGAAATTTCCAACGGAAAATCACCGTACACCATTTCATACATATTTCAACCAATCTACACACTTTTCTTCTAACATTACTATCACTAATAATACTACTACCTATAATAATAGTAATAACTGTTAATTTCTATTCTCATTTGTTTATTTTTTTTGTATATTACTTTTCTCTTAACCTGTTTGTTATCTCGCGTTCCTTCTCACCGTCAATCTCAATTAATTTTACTTCACTATATGTTGGGTTTTTTTCTTCGGTGTTGAGAATCAGCACTTTTGATGATGAATGGATATCTTTTGATGTATACACAGTTAATATATGTTTATATGCATACTTGAAACTGTTCATCAGTCTTGAACAAGAGCCGTCTGTTTTTTCAAATAAACTTTCAATGATCGAATCACATTAATAAATATTACGCGCACACAATCATAGAACTCGAACTATACAAATATACACATTAATTACAATTATAAAAAGAACTCTTACAGAGTACATTCATACTTGAATGCAATACAGTACAGTTTGACAATGCATATTATAATTAAAGTACATAGATCTGTGTATATGTTTGCCTATCTATCTATCTATATATCCATGTATCTGTTTTTATGTATATATAGGCAAACGCCTTAAAGATGTAATGCGGTATTGTATTGTATTTACAAAAGAAATATCCCATTTTTGTCAAATATCTGTCATATCATCACACTATCCACTTCATATATATATTCTAACTAACCTCTGCCTACCTCTATTGTTTCTTACTTCATTCTACTTCTGATTTTACTTGTTTAATTTTTGTGTATTGATGGTGATAATGATGATATATTCGTTTCGTTTTATTGTTTTCTGGGGGTTGGGTTGGGAATGATTCTTTGTTTTCTTTTTTCTATATATATAAATAAAGACGTATTTAATTATTTACTTGTCTCAGTGTTTTCCTGTTGCAAATATTAGTTTTCACAAATTTATAGTATTCAAGTTAAATTCAGTAGACATTATTCAAACATGAATTGAGTACAGAAAAAAAACGGGAGATTGTAAACTACTGTAGTTTTCATAAGCATTTATTCAACTTTATTGTAAAAACTTAATCAGATCGATTTTAGAAGTTCTATATAGTCAACAGATTTTCAACGTCTGAACCATTTATCTACAGAGCAGTAAATTGTTTCAATTGCAAATGATTGATCCTTGAATAGTGACCAATGTCATGTTTATCTGATCTTTTAGTGTTGACCGAATTCTATCGATTAATTTTCCTATTTGGTCATTATTCTAAGTGGCTCAATATCGCATGTACTATGTTGAGTTGTTAGGCAGTTGGCAGTAGCTGACAAAAAAACTTTGACACTCGTCAACAAACAGTACCTTTAATCTTCAAGAAACTGATGTTCCATGTGAACAAGAATATCTATTGGTATTTTCGTTATATGAGAGAATTAAAAGGGCGAAATTAAGTCAATGTGAAAATCGATCAGCATGATACTGCAAATGCGTTTTCTCATAGTAACTCATCCATCAACTGATGTTAAAACCGGTTCAAATCATACGAATCTGAATAATAATCTGATTGTAAATAAATATTATATAAAAACTACACTATTCAAATATTAATTTCGTTCATTTCTGGGGTCAAATAAATCCATATCACTAGTATCTGTGTTCTTACTACAAGTCGTCGAATTCGGGGTTTTAGTATTAAGCAGAAGTTTGTTAAATATACATTAGACACAATAGTTAACATATAACAGTTACATTTTATAGTTGAAAGCATGACTTAATTAAAGCTAGACCACCAAGGAGGACCTGGAAGCACTGGACGGCCGTTTCCTCTTATTGTGGGACTCCTCAGCAGTGTGCATCCACGACCTTTCCTCACGAGATTCGAACCCAAGACCTACCAGTCTCGCGCCAGAGCACTTAACTGATGCATTTTAGTTAAATTCCTAAAAATGAAATATTAACTGACCCAAACCGATCGAGATATATCATGGTAGAAAATGTCATTGAAGTGTACTTTCAAGAAATATGATACTTTTGACAAAACGCTTCAAAACATGAAATTATATGAATGTTTAGGTGAAGTTTTCATTTAAACTGGCTATAATTTGTAATCTTTATAGAAGATATTCACTTTCATCATTTTAGTCAATGTTTATTACATCTATACAAATAGATATAACCCTATTCTTCAACAATTTTAGAAGAATTTATTCTTTAATCGATTAACTGTATAAAATCAAGTTCAGGTAAAATGAATTTTGAAAATTTTCTTAAAACCTGACTCAAACTTATCAAATGCTTAACAATTTTCTTATAATGTTCAGTATTTAAACTGAGTTAAAACATAAGTAGAAATCGGTTGAGATTTCTGAATAACATTAAACTGATGGACGTTTCTGTATTTTTTTTAATCAATGGATGGTAGGGGATCATAAGGGCTGTCAAATTAATGTAAACCGAGATTTCTAAACACATACTAGTTGAAAATTATACCACATAGAAATTCTCCTTCACTTTTCATGGTAAATGATAATGTGGTCATTGTAAGTAAATAAAACAAACAGACTATGTAAGTTTAATCACATATGCTATTGAAGAAAAAAACCTATTTGTTATATCATGAAACGAATGTGTGAACTATGTAAGGTAGTGACTAGTGTAACGAATCTTAGCAAGAGTTGAATACACATCATTTAAGGTTTTTGTGGTATGAATATAGTTCGAATTTCATTAGGAACATCAATTCCTTCAAAATACGAAACCAAGATCATTATAGAGCCTCCTGCTAATGACTTCCGACTAGTGACCATATTGAAACTTGGTATATAATATTCAACTAATACTAAGAACTAGAAAAACATGTTACTGGTTATGACCCATGAAATTTTATTTATATTTCGGATAATTATTCTATTGGATTGGTTGAAGTTAGACATTAACACCGTTGGATGCAGGCTCAGTGGTCTATTGGTTAAGTGCTCGCGCGCGAGACTGATAGGTCCTGGGTTCGAATCTCGTGAGGCGGGATCGTGGATGCGTACTGCTCAAGAGTCCCACAGTAGGATGGGACGGCCGTCCAGTGCTCCCAGATTTTCCACGGTGGTCTAGCTTCAATTTGTATTTATCAAAAATAGAGAGCAGAGAAGATTTAATTTCATGTTATATATTCATAACTAATCACTTAGTTGGTCAATAGATCCTTATGTATGCTTGTATGTATGTATGCTTGTATTTGGAATCTGGATTTTGTAAGGAAAATTATTCTAGTTCAACTATACCTGAAATTTTTATTCACTTTGTCAAATCAACTATATCATCATAATAGCAACTATCGTTCTTTTTTTTAAATGAATTTAATCAGCAATATGTATTTTATTGAAGATCTAGACATACCTTGCCGATAAATGATAAAGATTGACAAATTTATTTTCCAGTTCTTTCGAACTTCTAGTTAGAATATATTCCATAATCCACTGTATTATACATTATCTATCTATCTATTTATCTATCTATCTACCTATCTATCTATCCATATTTGTCTGTCTATCCAATTGTCTTTCTATCTATTATCAACTGATCTGATGAACAGGTTAAATAAACTGATACAATTTGGTATTTAGGTTGACTAATTAATTAACAATCTATTGAACTGAGAAGTTACATGAACGAAGAAACAATCAAGAAGTAAGATATTAAAGATTGAATAAATTAAACAAATAATCTCAACAACAAGTGGTGCTTTTAGTCATTTATCCATTCCTTAATTGTTTGTTCTTATCATATTATCTATGCATTTTTATAACCATATTGTTGATAATACGCGGTAATTATATATATATGTATGTTCGGAATTTTTCAGAAAGTCATTACAGTTAAGAATAATAATAATAATAGATTCGTTTAGTATTGTTTGTTTGAATCTTCCCATTGATGTTTAGGACTGCAACTGGTCAGTCTCTAATTGGCATATGTGCATACTGTGTGTATTGCCTCGATATAGTCTCAATTCAAAAGCATTGTAAGCAAAGATGGATAGTGGCTAGCAGTGGAATCCAGGACGCGCGTTTCGTCCTATTTGGGACTCGTCAACTGAATGTACCTGCATCTCAGAATTGATGTTCACTCTGAGACTCGAACCCAATACCTTTCGCTTCAAACGCCATCGCGTTATCCACTCGGTCACTGAGTCCTGATAGCCACTTGCTTGTGAAATAATAATAATAGTTTATTATTATTACATCGATCGTTGTCTTAAGAAAAGAAGAATTGAAATAAATCCCTAATTATAACTTATAATTGGATAATGAAATCCATTATCGATCAAAAGTCAATGAGTAATAAGCTCCAAATTATTTTGTGTTATCTATTTATTTATCTTTTTCCACCATTTTATTTTTCTTCTCTTGCCCTCTTTTTGGCATTTTCTCGAAATCGAGAGCGAGAGAGAGAAAGAGAGAGAGAGAGAGAGAGAGCGATAAACACCGATTGAAAAAGAAAATAACTAACGAATTATATTTTTGTAAAACAAAAAGTGCGGGTAAAATGACAATTCTTTGTTTCAAATTTTTTTTTCTTTTCTGTTTACTTTTTTGCTTGAACTTGTTTATTCACATTTATTTTTGACTTATACATAATCGATAGAAAAAAAATTAATGAACAACAATAACAACAAAGAACAGAAGGGATATCAC